CCGAAGACGTAAATTCCTCAAGTTCAAGAAAGGTCATGTTGTGGTAGCGGGAAACTGGATCCACACGCTGTGATGCTGGGAGAGCGAGCTGAAAGACAACAAACATCGTAAAAATCAATCACGTGCATGTACGCAGTCTTACGGTCTCAATTCGGATGTAGCTAAATGGTATGCAAACTCTTGATGAACAATATTCATTGAGAAATGATAGGGGCCATACTTTGAACAAAATGAGAATTCAAAGAGGAGTCAGCAACTATTTGATATTTATATTTAAAAAATAACGAGTTCTTTAAAACGTGGTATAGATATATATAACAATATATTGAAAAAAATAAAGTGTAAACAAAACGTTTTGATACATGTGTAATCCCTCTCTATTTCAAATAGTCAACCATTATTTTTTTTTCAAGAGACATTTGTGCTCATCGTTTACGATACGGCTTCCTCGTCTGATTTGTTGAGCAACATTTTCTGACTTGCAGCATTAAGTTCACCCTTATCCAACTTTATCACTTCTCAAGTTATTTGCAGACGCAAAAAGTGTGAACAAACGAACGTGAGAAAAAAAAATCACATCCACGTTGGTGGCGCTCCTCTGTATATTAATCGAAGCGTTGCGTTCAACATGGATACATTTTGGACAGGAATTACTTACACTATTCAACTGACGCTCGAATTCAAATACATCTTCCACAAAATTATCAGCAACTGTTTCGTTGACATTTAATTCCACCAACAGACTCTTCATGTAGTTTTTATAACCAATGACATACTATAAAAATGCAATGTTAAAGTCACGTGACACTCAATGTAAATTTCAGAAATACGCTATTTAATTATGAATTACGCAGTTTTGATAATATGCTTTTCATTACAACACTTCATAAAAGCACGAATTGAAGCACCGTAGATGACTGGCAACCACGTGACAAAGAGAACTATTCTTACCGTGTCATTATCGCCGTTATGGAGAAACGTTGATCGCGGGATTTGGTCAATCTGAAGTGAATAGAATACAGATGTCATTGTTATAAAAAATGTAAAGGGCGCCCTCTATAAGCTATCTTTTAAAACCGTTTAATGTCAAATATCATTTACGTAATCTACGAATAATTTCATTTTCTGTTTTATTTTGTAAGAAACTGGACAAAACTTTGTGGAGGTTTCAAAATCTCACGTGACACATACATCTCTTGGTTTACTTTTACACTTTCCGCACGACATCCAGTTTATATGCAGTTAT